ACATCAATTATTTACATAAGATAAAAAAATAAAAAGTTCACAAACCCTTGATCAGTCCGCTCGATAAATTCCCTATGAGCTGGATTAGTTGGAGGCGTGTCAGCGACATTTGAGCCACGCCCAATGATGTCGTCATCTGCACCATCATCGCCTTCCTCACCATCCGCACCATCATCACCTTCCTCACCATACTCATCGTCATCACCGTAGGAGTCATAATCTTGATGGTCGGGTATGGTCTGTAAGATATTTAAGTCTGTGAGACCAACAACATGACTAGATTGTATTCTACTACCACCACTACCATGACTAGATTGTGTCTCCTTGTTACAACCACTAGGACTAGGACTAGACTGTGTCTTGTTACATTTTCCACTAGTAACAACATGTGATTGTTTCCCCTTACCACTACCTCTATCACCACCTCTCCCTTGGCCTCTCCCTCTGTCACTTCCTCTCCCTCTGTTACTGCCTCTCCCTCGACGAGAATCTCCACGATACTCCGAACGACCCATATACCTACATGTATTTAACAAAATAATTGTGGTTCATAAAATAATTTAAAGTGGATAACAATTTTAAGTGAACATACTCTATAATGGAAATAATATAATGACATTAATTTAAAGTGGACAAACCATATGATAGATTGCAAATAGTTTAAAGTGTATGACAACAAAAAATACCCTAATCATCAGAAGAGTGGTCAGATAAATCAAGGTCGTCTTCCTCATCTTCTGTATCTTCAAACTCTTGATATTCTTCTTCTTCATCACCATTCATTTCTTTATTTGTATTGGGGTCGTTAACTTCTATGAATTCTTCACCTCTGACTAGGGACATAGGTTCATTATTACTTACTTCATTTGAATAATCAAACCGTTCATCAGTTTGAAAGAACTGTTCTCCTTCCATGTCTTCATCGTCCGCGACTTCAGGTACAGATTGGGCGATTTCATACATTCCTCTTGGTTTCGTCTTGACAACAGCCCACCATAACTTTAAATTCTATTTCATAGAGGGGTATGGTGTATAATACACTTGTTCCACTTGTGATGCCAAGACAAATGGATTGTCGGTTTGAATTCGAGAGGTAGGTTTTATATCAACCAACTTATGTTTGTTAACTCTTATTCCGCGGACATTATCAAACCAAGTACATTTGAATAATACAACAACACAATGCCCACTGCCACGATAATCAAGCTCTAGTACCTCATCCAAAAATATGTAGTAGTCGCACTCTGGTTGGTTATAAGTCGTCCCCCTCACACATACTCCACAGTTATTTGTCACACGTCCATCACCATGGCTACGTGTGTGAAACTTATATCCATTCACAAAGTACCCTTTGTGCGATTGAGCATATTGCATTGGTCTCATTGCTAGAACTTCCAAATGTTTAGTACTATCATCTGAATCAATCATTACCTACATCGAGGAATACATATTAATGGTGTTGGCTAATGTTTAAATAATATTAATCGGTATGATTTAATCCGTTTAACTTACATGATGTTGGAACCGGTCGGCAAAGAGACGATCTCTAAGACTCTCAAGAGGCTCACTCGGATAATGCTCAAGCACCCAATTGTCGAACATGTGGATGTAAGGGTAAACTTCTCGACGATTTAAGAGGATATAGGTGTGAGCCTTGTGAAGTTCTGCATCGCCTATGCGTGATCGAATTCCACCTTTTTAACGTTTTTGTCTTTGTTTTTATCCTTTATAATGTATAATAAATCGATGTATTTCTTTGTTTTATCACCATATTACAAACATACATGCATACATACTTAATACATAAATGTATCTTTTGTTTTATCAACTTATTATTCACATACATATGTACGGGTATGGGTATAAGAAGTTGATGAAACAAATAAATGCGTTGATTTAGTAAGTTGATATAAATATGAAACGAAAAAACAACGTTGAATGATCGAAAATGGAAAAAACGATTTTGTTTTGTGGGTAATCCGTGACAAATCACTCACGGATTATCCACGAACCAGAATCTTTTTTTCAATTTTTGACCATTAAATGTTGTTATATTCGTCCAATCTTCTACAAAACATAATCAATTGATGTATTGACTTGTTTGTTCAACTTATTTCACAAATAAAATTAAACATACATAAATACTTTTATACATGCGTACATACTTAATATTTCAGTATACTCCATTTTTTCATCAACTTAGTAAACTCATACATTCATGTGTATGATATGTATCTAATAAATTGAAAAAACAAAGAAATACAATGATTTATTAAGTTATGTTAAGCATGGAATGAAAAATACAACGTTTGAGGGTCGAAAAATAAAAAAAAAACGATTATGGTATGTGGGTAATCTGTGGATAATTACCCACATCTTTCCCACAGCAATAAATAATTTTTCCATTTTTGATCATTTAACGTTATTGTCTTTGTTTTATCATTTATAATGTTTAATAGATCAATGTATTTCTTTGTTTTATCAACTTATTATACACATATATGCATATATACTTTATAAACTAATGTATCATTTATTTTTCAACTTATTATTCACATATATATGTACATGGATGAATATAATAAGTTGATGAAACAAAAAAATGCATTGATTTAGTGAAACGATAGAAATATGGAACTAAAAAACAACGTTTAAGGGATGAAAATGAAAAAAACAATGTTTTTATGTGGGTAATCTGTGGAAAATCACTCACGCTTTACCCACAGACCAGAAGTGTTTCTTCATTTTTCAAAATCTGTGGGTAAGCCGTGGGTGATGGCGATATTGTTCCCACGGATTTTCCACAGATTTCTTTCTGTGGGTAATCTATGTGTAATCTGTGAGAAATACTTTGTAAATTAGGGTTTTTTAAGTCGTGGAAAATCTGTGGCAAATGTGTGGGTAATTACCCACGGATTTTGTCCGTGGGTAATTTTCGTGGGTGAAGGTCCATTGTGTAGTAGTGGTAAAATAGTTTGTTGTACTATTAAATACAATTAAAAAATGAGTGACTAATGGGAAAATTGATGATTATTGAAAGTCATTTTATGACGTTAACCCTAAATAATGAACTATGCATTATGAATTATGCTTTTTTTTTATCTTTTTAAAACAATAGTTTGTCGCACCCACTAATCCTATTTATAGATCTATATATTTTTCCATAGGACTTTAACCATCAACCGGTTGGCCTAAGGGGCACATTTTCAACACGCATGATACCTATATGCTATTAGCCATAATATCTTTGGTTTATACTTTATACATTATGCATTATATCTATATATGACACCAATAAGTCATTTATATGGCATGCCATTTCTTAGCCTTTGGATGGACCATTTAAACTTATAACTGATTGTGATGATTTTGGCTATTTACAATCAAGATATCATATTAGGAGAACCCTATAAATTTTTGTAAGAAAAATAAATGTAAAATCATTTATCTATTCCTATATTTAATCAACATATTTAAAAAGTTCTGCAATGAATGATTTTGTTGTTGTTTTTTCATGGTTATTTTTGTTTAGGAGGCATATAAAGTGGAAGAGGTGCATGAAATTACCCACAAAGTATTTGGATGTTGATATTGATAAGCAACAACTAGGTATGATTTAATTTAGAGGATCCACAATGCATAGTTTAATGGGAGAGTTGAATGATGTGACATGGCTAATTGACATTCAAGGGATTAAACTCTACATTGTAGGATGTCATGTTGGTATATGATAGATTTGGTGTTCAATGCCTATTGAACTCTTCAATGGAAAAAAAAACATTTTAATTATTAAAAGTATATTTTATTGAACTTTGTAGAGTTCAATGTATTGTAGTAAAAATTAATGTAGAATTATATAAAAAGTAAATTGATGATCTGTAAATCCATTAAACTCTAATAAGTTCAATGTATTGTTGATACTTTTATTTATGATTAATGTAGAAATGTCAATTGCACCTTTTTTTTTTTGACAAGTTTTATGATTATCATGTTGCTTAAATTAAATTGACCCGACATGTTTAGTGAACTCACCCGCTCTACCTTATGCTTGAACTACAGGAAGGATTGTCAGAGGTTCGTATGTTAAAATCGTACAAAAAATTATGGGTAAGCCTTTAGGTTGCGTTTAGTTACGGAAAAACAGTTTTCGTTTTCCATTTTCCTTTTTCAGAAAAATGAAATAAGTTTTCATTTTCATTTTTCATTAGAAAATTTAAAAAACACGTTTAGTTAAAACTTATTCATTTTTTTTTTTTGTTTTAGAAAATTAACGAACATGTTTAGATGTGTATGTTTTGTGCCGGCTTTTCATTTTTAGAAAACGGTGGTTGTGGTGGCGGTGGTTGTGATGTGGTGGTGATGATGGCGATGGTGGAAGTGATGGGTCGGTGAGTGTGTGTTTGTGGGGGTGGGGGTGTTGGGGCTTGGGAGTGGGTGGGCAGGGGAGAGGTGGCATGAGGGTGGATGCATGTTTATATTTTAGAAAAAAAAAATTGGAATTAGAAAAATGTTAAAAGCAGTAATGTTGGTGCCAAGCTTGTTTCATTAAGCTGTGACAAGAAAAAACAATTCATAGTTGGGTAAGTTGATGAAAAATTCAAAGCTGAAAATAATTTTAGACACGTGTATTGAAGAGTTTCTTTATTTTGCAGGAGAATACCACACACAAATATTCTCGAGATCTTAAAATGTGAATCTTCTTTTTCATCAAGGGGTATGCTTCATTTTAATGATAAACTTGGTTTCTGTTAATGATTATTAGAAATACAATTAAAACGGGTGAATTGCATCAAATAGCAACATACTTGCCTTTTTTTACCATTATATGCAATGCAATCAACTGTTTTCTACCCAGAATAGCAATTAACTTAACAATATATTAAACCAAAAAGCAAGATTTGTGACTTTGAAATGTATACTTAAGAATTTTAAAAGTACTAGTGAATGCTTTCAGATGTATCCAGTACCTGTTTCAAAAGCAACCCACAAACCACATTGTTTCCTACAACCAATGGAAGATGGAAGTTGTGGAAAACGGTATAATTTACAAACAAAGTTGCTTCATAAAAACAAAAACATTAAAATAACAAAATGTGTAAAGTGAAAAAAAAGACAGCTCATGACACAACAATAGAAATAGAAACAGCAAAAAAACAATTCCATCATTTCCACGTGTACCATAAACATTGATTGATTAAGATTAACTGATTAAGCACGCCTTTTACTGAGCCTCCATGAATTTGGCTCATGGTATCGATCATAAAGGGGTTCAATTCGTTCTTGGCGTTTGCGTTTGCTCATTTTAGTAGGATCAGAAACCTTAAAGAACCTAGGAGCTAACTCAACCAGCCATTTCGGATCAACCACAGTAACTTCACGCATGTACTCTTTTGTTGTCATAACTAACTCATGGTAAATCACCCAATCTGGTTGCCTTTGAAACAGAGCACTACTTGGGTGTATATAAACCGGTTGATTCTCAACTATTGTTCTATACCCTTCTTGTGGATCCTTCCTTGCAGCATGAAAAAAGAACCCAGCTGTTATCGCCTTCCTTATCTTTGTAAAATTCTTCCCAGCAGTCACAACATCCAGCTTGTACCTAAATCACCAAAAAAGGCAATTTAGTAAACTTAAAAAAAGGTAACAACATAAACATAATATAGCAATCCAGATTAAGTAAGAAAGAGAACATACTTGTCCATTATAGAAAGAAGCTGTTTCCTAACATCTTGTGCCCTTCTCAACGAACGTGACTGAACAAAGTTCTCAAAACACCAAGGCCCAGAAAAATTCTTAGCTTTCCAAGCTTCATAAACTGCCAACAGAGTAAGATGATCACCTTCGGGTTGAAAAAACTTTGCTCTTTTTTGATCAGCTTGAGCTTGCTTCTCTCTAGGTCTATAAAAAATATTCCCAGTTTGAATCATAGCAATAATAGTCAAAATCTCATCACTACACCCCAAGTCAACACTCGCAAGAAGCATCTTTGACAAAGGAGGTTCAAGAGGAAACTCCGCCATTTTTCTACCCAATTTAGTCAAAAGCCCTTCTTCATCCAAAGCTCCAAGACTATACAACTGTTCCATGGCAGAAATCAAAGCTTGAGGAGAAGGCGGATCCATGAAATCAAAAGATAAAAGATCATTAATCCCCATTGCTTTTAAAGTCAAAGTAGTCAACCCGAGATTAATCCGTTGAATTTCTGGAATCGAAGTGGGAGACATTTCGTTATTGAACGCGCTTTCTGTGTAAAGCCGGTAACATTTCCCGGGACCCGTACGACCCGCCCGACCCGCCCGCTGCTTCGCGGATGCTTGCGAAATTGGAGTAATCACAAGCGAATCAAGCCCTTGTTTCGGGTTATAAACGTTCTGTTTCGCAAAACCAGGGTCAATAACGTAAAATATCCCGTCAATAGTCAAAGAAGCTTCCGCAATATTCGTTGCTACAACCACCTTCCGTTTCCCCGGTGGGGCCGGGTCGAAAATTCTCGATTGCATTTCACTCGGAAGCGCACTGTAAACCGGTAAAATAATTAACTCGGGGACGTTTTTACCTAACCCTTTCATTCTCTCATACAGACACTGACACGCATGGTCGATTTCTTCTTGACCTGTTAAAAAGACCAAAATGTCCCCCTCGGGTTCTGTCAAGTGGATTTGCATGACTGTGATGAGAGCTGCATCGAGGTAATCGGATTCCGGTTGTTTCGTGTAGAGGATTTCAACGGGAAATGTTCTTCCGGGAATTGTAAAAATATTACAAGAGAAGAAATACCCGGAGAATTTTTCAGCATCTAATGTTGCTGAAGTGACAATTAATCTAAGATCGGGTCTTCTTCTGATAAGTTGTTTTAGTAAGCCGAAAAGAACGTCTGTATGGATTGTTCTCTCGTGTGCTTCATCGAGCATGATGACTGAATACTGAGATAAGTTTTCATCGATTAGGATTTCTCTTAGAAGCATTCCATCCGTCATGTATTTGATAACTGTTTCTGGACCTGTGCAATCTTCAAAACGGATTGCGTATCCGACTTCTTCACCCAATCGACACCCAAATTCTTCTGCAACTCTTTTAGCAACAGACATGGCTGCAACTCTACGGGGTTGTGTACACCCGATTTTACCCCTGGTGGTGTAACCGGCTTCTGCTAAATACTGAGTCACCTGAGTTGTCTTCCCGGACCCGGTTTCTCCAATCACCACCAACACCTGGTTGTCATGTACTGCTTGAACCAATTCCTTCTTCAATTTGTAAATCGGTAAACTTTGTCTTTGTTCTTGAAGAGAAAGTTTTGACCTTTGACCGAAAGTCAACGCTTTACCGAAAGCATCCTTTTTCCATTCGGGCATGTCGTATGCGGACAATCCTACCCCTCTGAGTTCTTGAGCTAAATGGCGTTCACCTGTCTCTGGCATTGGGTCTTCCCATGGACGATTGAGATCTTTTGGAATGGAATCAAGCATTGTTCTTTGTTGTTGTTCTCTTACTTCTCTTCTTTCTTTTATAAGAGCAGATTGTAAAGCTGCTGCTCGGCTTAAAGAACCTTCTGGATTTTTAAAGATTTTCACAGGTGACATGTCCATGGAGTATCGGCTTTGCCCTTGTAAAAAAGCAGGTTCATCTTCGTTTAATTCAACTTCAAGTTCTTCTTCAGCTCCTTCTTCTTGATAAAGCATTCCATCTGTTTCTTCATCATACATTGGGTACTCTTTTACACTTAACACCCCTGAAGCTATCAATTGCTTCGCTTCCCATCTTTCTGGAGAACTCATTCTTTTCAAAGGTCTGCGTGAAGGTACAGCAACATCTTCTTCTGTGATTCTGATTCCTGAAAGTCCTGTTCTTGTTGTAGGGATGGAATTGGTTGAGAGATTTGACGGATTTGTCCTTGAAGATTCATCATCTTTGGTTTTCTTCAAAGGTAGCAGATCTTTACCTGTGTTCTGATCCACATCTCTCATGGAAAGAGAAAGCTTTTGACCTGAAATTGAGATTACTTTGACAAATACTTCTTGATCTCTTTTGACTACATCTTTTGCATTAGGAATTCTCCTTGTAGCCATTTGTGAGACATGAACTAGACCTTCTTTTCCCTTGATTTCATGCAGCTGAACAAAGCAACCACTGTCCATTACCCTAGAGACTCTACCTTTGTAGACATGGTATAATTCTGGTTCATCTGATTGTCTCCCATAACTCTTCCTCTCTCTTCTGTTTTCCTCTTCTTCATCTTCTTCCCTGTGTCTTTCTCTACCTCTGTCATCTTCTCTATGTTTGTCTCTACCCCTGTGACTACCCCTATCATCTTCTTCTCCTCCTCTTCTTCTGTCATATCTGTCATCATTCTCCCTTCCCCTGTGTCTATCTCTCCTATCCTTATCCCTATCCCTTCCTCTATCTCTATCTCTATCTCTAGAATCTCTCCCACCATCTTGTTGAGTCCTCTCTCTGGCTTCCATCTCAATCTCTCTTTCCAACTCCTTGACCCTATCCTTAGTATCCCCAATATTCAAAGCTGGAAAACTCGACTTTGGTACATTATCATCTTTCTTGCTATCAGATTTAGACTTCAGTTTTGGAGGCAAAATCGCGTGAATGATCTTCAACAAAGTGTGAACAAAGTAATCAGGCATCTCAGCCCCATTTTCCTTCAATTTAGCATCGAATTCATCAACAGTTTCGCATTTCCTGCCTATCTCAGTGATGAATTCAGCCAACACTTTATCTCCAAACCCTAAGTGAGATTCAAGCTCTGTACAAACCTTGGATACCAGTGACAGATATTCGAGTTTTTTCAAACTCGGTTCCTTCTTTGTTTGAGACACCATCTCCAGATGAAACAGATATAATACAACGGGAATTCAAATACAGATGAATGTGTAAAGATAGGGGTTGTTTGGTGTGATCTGAATTATTCATACATATGAATGGCAAAGAGGCTCTGGAAAATCTGCATCCGAATAAAAACATAGTGTTTGGTTAGACATTTGAATAGTTAAGCTGAATAATAAAAATGATCATTTTAACCTTTTGAACTATTTTCTTCAGATGCATATAATACAATCCTTTTAGTAAGCATGTGAAGTGGATATAATGTATAATTTGCAGAAAATTAGAATGTAAAAGTGAAATAGTTACAATTTTGGATAGAAATTGATGAAATAATGTATACAATCAGATCTGTTCTTGAACATGTGAATGAAAAAATGTTGCTGCTTTAAAGGAAAAAACACACATTCAGTATGAATGCACATAATATACATGAATCCTGATCATTGCTAGTATGATATTTAGGTATCTTGCAAATAAATGAGGAGATTTTTGCTTTGAAATACATATATACAAAACAATAACTGTGAAACTCTAATTTCATTCTAAATGGAGTCAAACCTATATAGGTATGTTACTTGAAAAGGAACCGATAGAGAGTAAAGATATCCAGCATTCAATAGTATATTCAATAGCATACTCAATCCAGCCAGGGAATCATACAATTCGAACTTCATAAACTTTTCAGCAAAATCAACAAATAATTTCATCATATGTGGAGGATAATTTCAGAACTTTTGCATCAGAACATAATTCGACTCAGCAAAAACAAGTACTAAAGAACATAACTCGACTCAGCAAAATTTTGCATCAGAACATAATTTCATAAATTTTATATCAGACATAATTCCATCAAATAATTTCAGCAAAAAGCAGGATATTTCAGCAAAAATCAGCAAACAATAGCCAGATTTCAGCCAGAAATCGGCGAATTCAGTGTATTTGAGGAGAGAAAAAAGGAAAACAGAAGAACGGCATATACCTGAAGAGAAATCTGCTGTGCGACGGTGGCGCGGGAGGTGTTGGAGGGTGGCGCCGGAGATGCGAAGGTGGAGAGCCGATATGGAAGAGTGGAGCGTCGGAGGTTTGAGAGAGAAGAGGCGTCGATTAGGTTAGGGCAATTTTGGAAGCGTGTTTGTTTTTTTTTTTTTTGGTTCAGATACATTTTACATCTCATTCAGTCTGATCGTTTTTTCTTATTAAGATGGTGTACTAACATGGCCTAGTTTTTTATTTTTTATAATGAAATTTTAATTAACATAACATAGCCTTTATTTTTAATTAATAAAAAAATAAAACACATCAAATTTTATAACTTTTTTTTCTTTATTTGACTATTATCGATTAAAATATTTTTTATTTTTTATAATCATAAATAAAAAATAACAATAATTATAGAAAATATTTTTGTTCACTGTTTATATTAAAAGTGTTTATATTTTTTTATTATCTTAAAAATAATAAAAACTCATTATTTATAATAATATTTTATAATAAAAAATTGGTATAAATTGTATCGTTAGTGGATGTAAAAATTAGATTTAATGGGATAGTATGGTTGAAAGATAGAAAAACTAGTTTTTTTGATATATCGTTTGATTGAATTTGATTATCGATAAAAAATTGTAAAAATAGAAACAAAACAATCGAGTATCTTAATTGGACGGGGAAAAATTAGATGATGAAATATATGTCATTTGCATGGTGTTTATGAAAAATATATGTCACTTTAATTGATTCGTACACAACAAAATTTTTCCATACACAACAATTTGTGCATTAAAGTGTTGTATTGTACAATTCCATAAAACATAAATTGTTGTGTACAAATCACTTCCCTTATGTTTATGTTATTAGCTATTATCATTAGCAATTTAATTTTTAAGAAAATCCGGTGTGGTTTATCCTAATAATGCACGTAACCCAGGAAACCGAGTAAACTACAAAATTGATCATGTTTTTTTTGTGGAGTCTAAAAAGTTTTCAACTTGTAAATATAGAGAGTTTGATAGAGTTTGGTTGTGGTTTAGATTGTTAGAGTTAAATCATGTGTGTTAGAAATAAGTTTGGCTGGTCCGACCAGATTAGGACCACGTAGCCTATACCACGTAGGAATTTAAATGACGAAAACTTGAAAAAAAAGTTGAAAATTAAATTAAACTAGATGCAACCTGTTTATGCATGTTTATATTTTTTTATCCCAAAATATGTCACGAACCGAACTGATTTTGAGGAAAATCATTTTTCACTTTACCCTAAATTCGAATCGGTTAAAAATTGATCCAGAGTAATTCAAAACTGATTTTGTGTCCCTCCACTAAAATATATCAACATGTTAGCAATTCTCAACGCGACAAGAACCCGACACAAAAAATGGGTTTGGGTTGAGATTTCTGACCCGTCAACCCGCCAAATAAACGGGTCGTGTTCAAATTAGTTATTTAGTCTGTGGGTCAACCCCCACCAACCAATTTAATTTTTTTATTTTATTTATTTTTAAAGGATATTACCGTTTTAAAGTATGCTCCCTCGAAGGTGGTTCACCATTTGGTGAAGACACGAATACATTTTGCCTTACATTTGCAAACGTTGTTGCATAACATCCTTTTGGTCACCCTGAAATTTGAGAAGATTTGAACCTAATACCTCCATATGGGAAGATTCACTGTATGATATATTAGATTTATGTTATGTGACTATGTTTATCAGCTTCTGCATGTTGTGTGCTCTGAATCAAATTAATCTTCAATATTATGCAAATAATATTTGTGTACACGAGTCAACCCACCAACACGAATTAGACCCACAAACCTGCGAACTTTTATATATAAACAGGCTAGACGAGTCGTGTCCTTTATGTATACAACGCGCCAACCAATAACCCCCACCAACCAATTTAATTTTTTTTTTTTATTTATTTTTAAAGGATATTACCGTTTTAAAGCATGCTCCCTCGGAGGTGGTTCACCATTTGGTGAAGACACGAATACATTTTGCCTTACATTTGCAAACGTTGTTGCATAACCTCCTTTTGGCCACCCTGAAATTTGAGAAGATTTGAACCTAAGACCTCCATATGGGAAGATTCACTGTATGATATATTAGATTTATGTTATGTGACTAGAGTTTATCAGTTTCCGCATGTTGTGTGCTTTGAATCAAATTAATCTTCAATATTATGCAAATAATATTTGTGTTCACGAGTCAACCCACCAACACGAATTAGACCCACAAACCTGCGAACTTTTATATATAAACAGGTTAGACGAGTCGTGTCCTTTATGTATACAACCCGCCAACCAATAACCAGCTAACCCATGACAAGAATAATTATGTGGGTCATGCATAGGTTGACGTATTTTGGTCTGCCAGACCGAACCCGAACCGAACATGATTGCCACCCCTAGGCTTTAGTATTTTTAGACTAAGAGCTTGGCCTTGGCTGCTAAAAGAGTTTGGTACTTTTCAGGAAAAGAAAATAATAAAAAGTTATTACATATAATAATAATCTATAATAAAAAGTTGGTTTAGATTGAATTGTTAACAGGTAGGGTTGTAAACGAACCGAACGAACACGAACGAGGGTTTGTTTATGTTCATTCGTTTAAGTTAGCCGAACAAACGAACAAACATGAAGAAATAAAAGAACGAGTTTTTTTGTTCGTGTTTATTTGTTTAACAAATTACCTTGTTCATGTTTGCTTGTTTATATTCGTGAACATGCTAAACGAATATAAACAAACGAACGTAAACGAAAAAAGATAAACAAATACAATTAAACATATATGAACATAAACGAACATAAAATATAGTAATATAATAAAATACAATTGAACATATATAAATATAAATAAATATAATAGATGAAAGAAATTAGGTTTAAATGGATTGTGAGGGTTTAATATAGAAAAACTAACTTTTTTTAATATATATTTGGATTAAATTTAGTTGTAGATAAAGCTTATACAAAAATAGAGAGAGACAATCAAACATCCTAATTGGACCGTAAAAAAATTAAATGATGAAAATATATATTTTATTTGCATGTTGGTTCTTGTATGTTTAAGTTATTAGCGTTACCGACCCGACTTTTAAGAACTTCAACCCGGCTTAGCCCAATATTGCACGTAATCTAGGGGAAAAAACTAGTAAACTGCAAAATTGGTCTTGTTGTTTGAGTTATTTTGGTGGAGTCCAAAAAAATTTCAACTTGTAAATATGATGCTTTTAAAAGAGTTTGGTTGTGGTTTAGGTTGATAGAATTAATTTATGTGTGTTATGGTCCGTTAAGTTGGTAAAACGACCATTTTGCCCTCAACTATTTATATATTTATTAGTTATTGATATTGATATTACTAATATTAACTAATTAATAAACCCAACGTCATCCATTTTTCAATTTAACGGCGATATGACTTCCACTCTTTTTTTCCTTTTCGTTCTTCTTCACTAAACAATCACAATACCTCCCTTTCATCTTCTTCGACAAATACTTATTCACCTTCTTCTGCAAAAACTCATTCACATTCTACACATGCAATAGATAACAATAAGAAGCATCGGGATCAAACACCACTCTAGCTACATTAGATCTATCTTCTTCGGTCACCACTATTGCAATATCAGACACCAAATCCACCAAAGGGAAGGTGAAAGTGATTATTTTAAGAAGAGGTTTGGGATAATTTGCGATGAAAGTCACCAACATTGAAAGTTCCAAAAGAAGAGTGATGTAATGTGCCCATATCGACCCATTCCCACTAACATTAGATCGGATTTTCAAACCTTGTAATTTTTTATGTTTTTGGTTTCGTCTTGGCTACCAGATCTTTGAACCAATGTTGATATTCATATATTGCTTCCTCATGTGATAATCCCTCCTTGATAAGATAGAATTAGAAACATATTATTGTGTTGTTGCATCATTGATAAGATGAAATCAGATTACCAAACCTGCTTATAATGCTTCCTCCATATGGAATTGAAACTAATTACTCAAATGGAATTTGCAAGGAAAAAAAACTAAGATGAAAAAAATTGCAAATTGATGGCAGAATGCTTATTCAGTTATCCAGATTAAACGAAAATCAATTTTTAAGAAATAAGTTTGGTTTGGTCTAATCAGATTGGATTATTAGACAACAAATTAAGACAATATAACCTCAACTAAATAGGAATTTAATCTAGGAAAACTTGAAATATATAACTATAGCAAGCATATGGGTCATATGTCACATTCACTACATCAGTTGCATCTTCTTCGGTCACCACCATTGCAATAGCTGACACCAAATCAACCAAAAGGAATGTGAAATTGATTATTTTAGCATAAATCATCTCATTTTAGTTAGTCTTTATGCATATTTCTTCTTTTTGTTATTTTTTATCTTTAATTGGGTTCTTTCTAGTCTTTGAGTATGATTGCAAATTTTTAGAAGACTAACATGGAGCGGAGATCTTCGAGATTGCGGGAATCAAATGAGCGTTGAGGACAATGAATAATCATGGGCTTGAGAAGATCAAAAGAAGAAATGGACTAGTTTGGAGGCATTTTATTGGAAATCAATATGGGTTTGATCCTAAAAGAAGACGGAAAACAACATTTAAAAATGCGGAATTGATTGTTCGATCGAGTATTCGGGCTTTGGAGGATTTGGAAAAGACAAATTGGGCTCAAATTGAAGAAAACTTGAAGATTTGTGGGCTACAATCTAATGAAGAAGAATTGGATCAGTGGGCTAAAGCAGTGCAAGCCCAACAAATGGAAATGGCCCATTCTCAGTCGGTTCATGCGGCCCGCAGAAGAATACCATGCGGCACGCGTGAGTTCCTGCAGGGGTATTATCGTGATTTTACTTTTGGCTTCTATTTGAGGAAGTTTGGTGGGATTCTTTTGGGACTTTTGCACATCCGAAAATTGGTGATTTCTCTGGAGTTTTGGGAGCTTTTGGAGCACTTGAAGAACATCAAAAACATCATATTTTACTCTTGATTCTTGCTACATGTTGGGTACTTTTAACCTTTATTTTGTTTTCTTGAGTTTAGCCATGCTATACTAAACTAATCTTGGTTGAATTTGGTGAAATCATTTGAATGTTTGTTGAATGTTGAAGACTCCATGAACTTGTTCGTGAATCTTTATGAGAATGTTTTGTATTTTAACAT